TTTCCAACATCCCTCATGCTCATCCTACAGAACTGATCACACTTTGCAGTCCTTACCCATTCGCCAAATGGGAGATCGACTTAGTTGGCCCATTGCCCATCGATCGAGGCCAAACCAAATTCGCAATCGTCGCTATTGATTACTTCACTAAATGGGTGGAGGCGGAACCCCTCGCCACAATTACCAAGCGAAACACAACTAGATTCATCTGGCAATCGATCGTGTGCTAATTTGGCATCCCTCAAGCCATCGTCTCCGACAACGGCAAACAATTTGACAATGCCAAGTTCAGGAAATTCTGTGCAGAACTTCAAATCCAGCCATGTTTCTCTTCCGCAAGTCATCCCCAAGCCAATGGCCAAGTTGAGGTTACCAACCATTCTCTTTTGAAGATCATCAAAACTAAGTTGGAAGCTGCTAAGGGACTCTGGGCTGAGGAATTATCAAACGTACTCTGGGCCTACCACACTACTGCCCAAACCTTCACCGGAGAGACCTCCTTTTGCTTAACATACGGCGTTGAGGCGGTCATCCTAGTGGAAATCGGTTTGCCTACCCAGAGGGTTCTGCACCCAAATCCAGAACTAATTGAAGAACTGCGTCGGGCAGACTTAGACCTAATTGAAAAGCTCCGAGAGACCACTATTGTCAGGTGAGCCTCATATCAACAGAAAATGAGAACACACTACAACCGCAAAGTTTAACCGAGAGAGTTCGTCGTGAGGGACCTTGTTTTGCGCGAAGCAACTCTTGCCACCAAAAATCCGGCTGAGGGCAAGCTGGCAGCCAAATGAGAGGGACCTTACGTTTTTAAGGCCAAACCTCGTCCGGGCACTTACCGACTTCAGGACATGGAAAGTCGAGATCTTCCCCATCCATGGAACACTGAGCACTTGAAGCGTTATTTTCAATAAAGCCTTATTTTTGTATTGATCAATTGCCGTATGTTCTTTTTGACAATCTACACACTTGGATGTTTTTGTCCTTTTCTCACATGGTGTAAATTTGTGATCAATGGGCTACGCTTTAAATGACAACGATCTTATATCTCAGTTATCTGCGTGGTATTTCAATAACACCCTGCTTGCAGCCTCATCTAGACTGAGTAACCTAAAGCCTCAGCAAGACTGAGCACGAAGGGCTCAGCCAGACTGAGTTATTTGAAGCCTCAGCTAGACTGAGCACGAAGGGCTTAGCCAGACTGAGTTACTTGAAGCCTCAGCCAGACTGAGCATGAAGGGCTTAGCCAGACTGAGTTAATTATGGCTTAAGCCAAACTGAGCACGAATGAAGAGTTCGGCCAAGGCCATTCTTGCAACTTCATGATTGTAGCATAGTTGCCATACTTAGTTAAAATCCAGGTCCATGCTTTTACATCTCTTAACATTCTTTACATTTTTAACTTTCATTTTTAGTTCCGTTACAATCCACACGCCTCGTCGCCCAACCCAATCTTTCATTTCTCAATACTCTTATAACATGATTTAAAACTTCATACTTTAAGACCTTTACATTTCGACATTTTTATTGTTAACATTCTTTGCGTCTTGGTTTTCTCACAAGTTAGACTAGCTCCCTACTTCTCAACTTTTACTACGATTTATACACAAGCCTTATTTAAATGCCCATTCTCATTCATTTCAGATCTACAAGAAATAAAAACAACAGTACGAAAAAGCACAGCTCATTATTTTATTTACAAACTTACACATAAATTCACTACAGAAATTACACGACCAAAAAAAAAAAAAAAAAAACAACAACAACAACAAAAAAAATTTTATTTACAAACAACAACACGTAAAACGCAAAAATTTTACATCAATCATTCATCCTCGCTCGAAGCCAGGTCTTCTTTGTCAACCCCCTCATCTAGGGGGGTCTGGGCCACATCGTCTTCATCTATTCTCACATTGCTGAAGTTCAAGTCTGGGAATAACTCTTCTACATTACGTTTAAAAGTCTTCCAACCGCTGTCCCAGAACTCAGCCATCTCATGCTTGTAGAAGTCTGACTGCTAGAAGCTCTGGATCACTTCCTCTTCACTCCTACTTTTAGCGGTTGCTCCCGACGGGCCAGCCCCCCTATCCCCCTCTCTCACCAAGCTGTTGGCGATAACGGCATCAATAGCCATCTGGAAGTCGGCGGACCCCTTGAACTGTTCTACCGCTGCAACACATAGGTCGGGGTACGCCGCCCTCTCAGATGCCAACTTGGCCCTCTCCTCTTCCAAGGTCTTCTCCAACCCTGCCTTCTCAGCCACTGACTTGGCCCTCTCGCCAGCCAGGGCCTTCTCTATCTCTGCCCTCTCAACTGCCAGTCTAGCCCGCTCATTCGCCAGCACCCTCTCCAACTCAGCGATCTTCTAATCTGCTTCTTTATTTTCTTTGATCGACTGAGCGCATAGATCTTCATTACAGACCATGGCCTCATCCCACCTTTCATTGGCTACGGTGTAGGCTTTCTAGGCCTCTTCCAGCTTCTTCTGCTCGCTAGCCAACTGAAACTCGAGCAACACCACCTTGCGACGTTCCGTCTCCAGCTCTAACTTGGTCGTGAGCAGCTCAGCATTAGCACGGTCTGCTGAATAGCCATGCACCATCGCCAACACCTCCATCTTCTTGGCGTTCTGGGCATACTCCAGCCCCCTAACACACGCACTCTGCGCGGCTTTCCTCCAGCCCCCAGTCTCCCTCCTTAAACTTTCAAGCTGAGCCTTCACCTCCATTAACTTTGCCTTCAGTAGCCCAACTTCGCCCTTTGCACACGCCGCTTTGTTCAGTAAGGCTCATGCTAAGGCCGTCGCCTCCATCTGGGCTGAGCACAGCCCCCTTAGCAGTTCGGCCTCTGTGAAACTTGCCATCGAACTCAAGGCCGCGTCTTCCACTACTTCTAAGAGCTGATCTGCAGCAGTCCTGGCTTCACCTCCTTCTCCCTCCAGTCGCCCGGACACTACTGGAGCGTGGTAAATGGCGGTTTTCAACCTGGCCCTCTTTCTTTCTCCTTGGGGCACAGGACCCCCCTTGGGCTGTTACTCTGTCCCCTACTTAGGGCTAGTCGCCCCACCTTCCACTTGTGTTTCGGGGCCCAGGGCACTCTCCATCCCCTTCGTTGTTCCCTCCAACTCCACTTTAGGAGTCCCCTCTGCCATCCTCTCCTTCATCCTCTTCAAGGCTGGCCCCTCTTCCTTTTTCTTTACTCTCTTCTTCTTCTTCAACACAGCCTCCACCTCCTTTTTGCTCTTTTCCTTCAGAGGATCCACTGGAGGTGGTCGTGGCTCAAAACCGCTCAGGCCCTTCTCCCCCAGCGGCTTGGGGCGCGGTCGGACTCGTTCCCTCACGATCAGTTTGAGTGGGCGGCCTAACTTCGCCTCCTTGTACTGATCAGCCTTGGCGAAGGTGGTTCTGTCCTCCGCCTCTTGCCTCTTCCTCCTCGCCTCTAGTTCTGCCGGCACAAGATCTCCACCGGTCGGTTGAGGGTCCAGCCTTGAGGCAAACAAGGTTGAGGGCTGAACGAGGTCGTCCCACTTGGCGCCCTCCTTCTCCCTCCATGCCTTCACCTTTTTCACCCTCTCCTCTGCCTCCGCCTTCAACCTTGGCTCAATCGACTTGGTTGGCACCTTCCATACCGTGCACACTCCTACTCCCCCGTTGGCGGACACCTAGAACCACCGTGGCCTCCACCTCTTCACTGACTACGGCAACCCCGCCACCAGACCCTTCCTTGCCGCCGCTTGTAAAGTGACCCAAGTCTCTTGCTGGCCCGAAGCCTTGTAGCATGCAAAAAACTCATCCACCGTCATTGCAGCACCCTCGTTCGCCCGCGGCCACACGCTTGCACAGGCCAATACAATCTTCCACGCGTTGGGCATCAGTTGGCCCAGAGCCACCTCTAGCTGATTCAACACGTCTACTACTATCCGGGGAAGCGGCAACCTCAACCCCCCTTTAGCGCCTCTTCGTAGAGGGCAAACTCCCCCGGTCGGGCGTCAGATGGCCTCTCCTTCGATGTCGGCAATTTCAACTCTATCTCCGCGAGAATCTGATACCTCTCGCACATCTCCTCCGCCGTACATGTCGATTCATCAACACATTTGTAAATTAACAAAATGAAAATATCCATTCATCATTACAAATAATACAATAAAATAGTACAATATTCACAAAATATCCAAAAGTTGTAACTTTGTACAATTCTACCAAACATCCAACAATAACTAGTGCAACTCCACAAAGTATATGTATCCTTATCAAACAAAAATGAACATTCAAGCAAATTACATCATTGTCGCACGTCAAAAATGCCATCCCAATCCAATCTGTAAAAAAATAAATTAAAAGCTTCAGTAATTAATTAATTATACAAAAGATTAAAAACATTAGTAACTCATCAATTTACAATTAGATCAATTATATAATTTATCCATCTAACATACTTTTTTTCGAGATTATGAGAACAAAAAATTAATTTTAAGGCTAATTCACAAATGGTACATCCTATTAATGTGTCGTAAGTTCATACAACTTATATTGATCCCTCCTAAAGTGTTTCTGTTGGTTCCTATACAAATTTGTTGTTGTGTGATAATTTAGCCTTTCAATGGCCTTTTTTGAAGCTTTAAGTATAGAGAAAAAGAAATATTTTTTAGACTAATTCACAATTTATACATCCCGAATCCTAAATGGCATATAAATAAATTGTTCAACACCAAATCCTAAATGGCTTATAAATAAATTGTTCAACATGGAGAATGAGAAGTCAATTTTACACGAATACTTATCAAGTTATGACTCTAAGATATATCCAGTGAGAGGTGAGAGAGAAGTTACAACAAATGAGAGCACAATATAGAGTGAAAGCCATTTTCATGAATATTAAAATTCTAATTATCAAGTTATGTATGTCCAACATACCATACTCTCCCTATACTGATAATGAAAGACTTTCCAATACAAACGAACATGTAAAGTAGAAGAACCTCACAAATACACCAAATGGATAATGCTTGGATTATGTCTTGGGCTAGAACACCATCAGATATCAAACCACCTTCCATTGAACGGAGTAGGAAGGCCTCAAGCTTCTCTCTGGAGGCATGAAAATGAATTTTAGAATCCAAAAAACATCAACACATCAGCCATAGTAAAGTGATACAATAAGGCAATGCATTCGGTAAAATAACAGGAAACACAAGCTAGACGAAGTGCCATGGGCAAAGTTGAACTTGGACATCACAAAATAATGATATGCTATTTCAGCTGATAAAATTGCTAATCAAAGACCATAACAAGGCTTCAATCAGGCATACGGATAACCAAGGTTGAAAATTCTTCCTCAATTTATTGGTCATCCGATGCCTTTACAATCCCTATCACTTGGTCTTTTTTATTTCTTTATTTTATGACTTGAATCTTATAAAGAAAGGGGCATGCAAGAAACTTTTCTTTAATTGATGACCAAGGAGCTAATGTTGACTAGACCAAAATTCTTCAAAAAAATTAAGATGACAAAATAGAGTTTTCTAAAAAAGAAAATGAAAAATAGAAAGGGAACTAATTTGAGCAGATAAACAATGCATTATCAGCAAATAGCTTACTTGTCATAAGATTCATGAGGATTGACAATGCTAGGCACACTATTTATGTATTGTACTCAGTCATGCTCAGAACTTGAGACTAGCACTAGTTGAAGGGAATACTCTAAAATGTATCAGAGCATCATTAGGGTATAATCAATAAAATGTATGAACTAGTTGAAGATATACTCTGATTCTGTAGGCAAGAACTTGAGACTAGATATCAAGAATTCCAACCTTTGGCCTCTTAACAATCTCCAGCATTTCTAACTATATTTTCTTTACCAAAATCATGTTTCTGACTGATATTGGTCCTACTAATCTTAAACCTTCTAATTTTGAAGAATCTCTCTAATGCAGTTAAATAATGTAATGCAAATAAAAGAAAGATTTTTTAGTTCAAATATCTGTATTTAGATCCAGTAGAGAAAATTTACCAGATCCATTGAGTTGCTATCCAAAAATTCAAATGCAGATAAAATTTCACCAAGCTTTCTTTTGGCATCCAATAGTAGATTCTGACGAAGAAGACAAAGAAAACAACATGAACTCAAAATTGCAAATCAAGTTCATATTTGAAGTTCACATTAACTTCGATTATTCAAAATGAAATGATATATAAAAGAGGATGCAAGTTTGTTAGGAAATTCATAATGGCATAATATCAGGAATTTTGCATAATCATTATTTCTTCAAGACAACTCATGATCAGATTTCAAGTAACCTTTTTATACTTTCACTTAAGTGATATGCTTGCCTAAATAGAAATTAGAAGGGAAAATTTATTTGAGTGTGACAGAAGTGATCTTACCTTTTTATGAGAGGGAACTTCTGAGAAGAATTTCATAAGATAAAACAAACATGACAATGCTCAAATAAAGGAAAATGATAGTCATTCATTTCTTAAAATTAAGAATGAAAAACATTTCAAGTTCATTATATACTTTGCTTTGGGTAATCTAAAAAATGGACCAGATCAGCACCACTTTCATTAATTTATCAGAAATTTTGAAAAACCAGCCAACTTGGTTGGATTTTAACCAGGATTTGGGAATTTTTATCAAGTAAAGGTTGGCATATGTACTTCTGAAATGCTTTACCAAACACTGAAAAGGTTTCAAACCAGTGAAGTTGTGGCCCATAGAATTGGTTTTTTGCTTTTCTCAAATAGGCTCAATTTAGAGTCTGTGCCTACCTACAAAGTAATTTTGAACAAAAATGCTGTAAAAAAGTATTAAGAAAACCAAACAGACATCCAATTCAATGCCATTAAAAAAATCATTATTACTCAAAAGCAATAACAAAACCCACTGGATATGGACACCAAGCTTGCTTTGGTTTGATTTGACAGTGAAACAAAAAATAATTCAACCAAATTGAGACACAAATTAATATCTAAATAACAGAAATTAAACCCATCATTTCCCATACAAACACATACAGCTCCTACAACAATTCAACCAAATTGAGACACAAATTTGACACCATACAACACAGGATCAAATTAAAAGAAAATCAAACCTGCTGGTAGAGAGCATAGAAAAGCAATGCACAGCAATACAGAGCTTAAAATCAGAATTAAACAGAGCAATATAGAAATCAACTACGACTAATGAAGTAGATAACAAACAACAATACAAAAACAAACACAATGCATTAGAAATTCAAATCAGACTATTAATCACGAAGCCTTTTTAATAGAAAATATAGCAAATTAGAATGTTTGAATCAATTTAGAAAACAAAGTTACATGAGTCACATTGAACTTCATGCTGACTCAAAACGAAATTCAAAATGCAATGCACCAGAGCTTCATCATAAATCACGAATTTTTACTCAATAAGAAACCACTACTTGATAATGAAATTTATAAACTCAAGTTATTTAAAAGTCCTTACTAACTTTAGTGGATAATTGAAGTTAGAAACCCAAACACCCTCATTTTCGCTTTATTCCCCCTTTTCATGCCTTTTCATCTATTAGAAACCCCTAACACTTTTCAGTTGATAGCTTTGTTCTAATCAGTGAGTAAATTAATCAAACACTTGCAAATTCAAACATCTCCCAACAACAACTAATCACTATTATACAAAACCCAGTAAAAATCATTCAATAAAATTGAATTTAGGGCATTACAAAAGAACATAAAACACATTAATAATTAGATAGTATGATAAAACAAACCTTGAAGACGATGAAGATGCCGATGAGTCTTGTGTGGTTGAAATGACATTGTTGTCTTGGTTAATGGACGAGGAAGATGAAGAAGAAGAGGAAGGAGGCTGAGAAAGACCCGACTTATTCTTTGAAATCTTTAAACAATGTAACCCATTTCATCGTATTTCTGAGATGATAACTTTCTCATCCAACAAATGTCCCACCGGAGACCGATCAAACTCCGGCAGATCCAAATCCTTCTAGATTGAAGGATCTTCGACCTCAATATATGTCTACGAGAGAGTGAGAGGGTTGGGAGATCTGTAAACGCCGGTCTACGAGAGAGAGATTATGAGCTTTTGCGAGAGCGATAGAAGAGAATAAGAGGACATGAGAGGAGGAGGGTTACCTAGACGCCGAAGGGCGGACTGCACACGTCGTTGTTGTCGCCACTACGAGAGAGAGAGAGAGAGAGAGAGAGAGAGACACTAGGGCAGGTTTGGGTGTGAGAATGAATTAGGGACTTTGTTTGGTTTGTGTTTTATTTTTTTTTTTTTTTTTTTGGTGTTTGGCTTTCGAAATTTTTATTTTGGCGCTATTTTTTTTTTCGATCATACCTTTTCCGACAGCAATTGCGTACTTTAAAAAGTGAAATATTTTAAACGGTTGATTTTTTGTGTATCGTGAAAAATATAATTTTTAACGGTTGACTTTTTGTGTATCATGAAATGTTTAATATTTTTTAAAATTATTTATGACCTTCAAAAAGAAAAAATTATTTTTGGTGAGCTAGAGAAAATTATTTTTGTGCTTTTTAAAAATTATTTTTGTGCATCAAACTCCAGCGATGTGCGACGGACGTGAGTAACGGTGGTGAGGGACTTCGGTGAGCTAGAGAGAGTGGGCACCGATTGAGAGAGAGAACACAGAGAGAAGGAGAGGGCAAACAAACATAGAGAGACACAAAGAGCGAGTTAGAGACAGAGGGGAGATTAGGGCTTTTTTTTTTTCCTGTTTTCCTAGTACAAAACAATGTTGTTTAATAATCGGCAAATTTTTTTGTCGCAAAAAAATTTCAATTCCTGCCTCCACGTTTCAAATTTCCCTCCCAAGACTTGTGGCTAGAAACCCCATTTTACTTATATAATATATATATATATATATATATATATTTAATAAGAATTTATATTTGTTTTGTCAAAAATAAAGGAATGAACCAAAATTAAATGTCATTATATTAAATAACTTACAAATTATAACTTAACTAACATATCGCTCGTGCTATGCACGGGATTGAATTTTAAAAAATTATTTATAGTTATGTCAAACATATTTTTAAATTATTAGCATAAAATAGACGTAATTTTGAAAGAACATACTGGTGTTTTATAATTGAAGTAATAAAAATGAAATTTTATTATGTTTGTTCGAAATTCACTGAATAAATAAGATATATTATGACTAAAATCTAAATTGTTGTGGGTCTTCTATCAACATTCATGCATTGCCAACATAATAGTTAGTATTATAATTGATAAACAATGCATATATTATGTATTTATAAAATATTATAAAGTAAAAATATTATACTTACATATTATTTATTTTTTACCTTGTAAAATTTTTCAGACCAATCTATATTTAAAACAAAGTTTACGCACGGTGCACAATTTAGTTGACGTAGCATTGTTGGTACACGTATGATAAATGCATAGGCACAGTCTTGGCATGACGCAATATAATCTTTAATCATTTTAACTCTATTACCCTATAAAATTTTGGAATTATAACATTGTGTTTGAAAATGTAAGAATAAGTTATTTATAATAAATTTTATAATTGCCTACCTTTGATATCATATTCTTCAAATATGATGGTTGACATCGCAAGATAAACTCTGCCCGTTTATCTTGAACGGCGAGATTTATTGAACCAGAATTGTCTTTGACCACAATGTTAACATTATATCTAATTAAAAAAAAAAAAACTTTTTAAAAGGAAATATTGTACCTAATAAAAAATTAAAACACTTGTTAAGTTTGAATTATTACATATCAATTATTTACCTAAAGAAAATTACCTCGTTATAATATCAGTATCAAAATGTATGCAGTGACGACAAATAATATGATCATAATGATATTCAACTTTTCGATAACAGTGTAATTTTTTAATAAAATTACAATGGAAGGCTTGAAAAGGGTGTGTAATTTCCTAATTATAGTGTAATTTTTTTTCTCTTTTTTTTTCACAATTGTAACTTGTTATTTTTAATAAAAATTTATATTTGTTTTAGATATTTTATTAATATACAAATTATTTTTTTTTAAAAATTTATAAAAATAATTTAACAATCCCATCAATAACCATAATGTATCGGAGAAGTTGAAAAGGGTGTAAGAGTTGGTATGAGAGGAATCAAAAAGACTTATGGGTTAGGAGAAGTCAATAAATGCTGAGGTTTTTTTTTTTAAATCAAAAATTTAGAAAAATTAAGATTGGGATATTGGAACTCCCACAAGGCATGTGAGTTAGAAACCCTTTTTTCTTTATATAATACTAGTATATCACCCGTGCTATGCACGGATTGTATTTATAATTATTTATATATGTTAATTGTGATTTTTAAATATATTTTTTCTTTTTTTAAATGTCTTTTTTTTTCTTTTTTATATTATATTAAAGTTTAATATTTTGATAATAATCATATGTGTTGGACTTTTCAAGAAATTTTTTTATGCTTGTTCTTAATGCATTAAAATGTTATTATGAGGGATAATAATCATGTGTTGGGACTTTTCAAGGAATTCATATGTGTTGGATTTCAAAAAACTCCTAAATTTCCTAATGAAATTAAAGACAAAACTCAGTTACAGAGATTTTTAGGCAGTCTTAACTATGTTAGAGACTACTATCACAATTTATCTGCCGATGCTAAAATTTTGTATACCAGATTACGAAAGAATCCACCTCCGTGGTCACCTGAACATACTTTAGCCGTTAAAAGAATTAAAGCTAAAGTTCAACAGTTACCTTGTTTACAGTTACCAAATCCTAATTGGAAGAAGATTGTTGAAACTGATGCTTCCAATGAAGGTTTTGGTGGGATCTTAAAACAACTTAATCCCAAAACCTTAAGAAGGAAAACATCCTTATATTTGGATGTAGAGCATGAATGGCTTGTCCTTCGGTTGTTGTCCAGGTCTTGTATTGATCTTCAATAGCATTAAGCTGGGGTTGGTTAACTGTCTGGTACCATTCTACGAAAGGTATTAATTTCTAGTGTAACTCAAGATGTTGATAATATTGAGTTTTATATTCTGCTAACTGGTCAGGAGTATGGTTGGCAAAATACCAATCTCTAAAATCGTTGTATTTTTGCTGGTTAAATTCCTAGTTTAATATTTGTCTAGTTTCACTTCCTGGTGTGAAATCCATTAAATTTCAAAATTCATATCACTGGCCGTTGGGCTATCTAGTGTGGGTGTGGTATAGACACCATGAGGAATCCTATTTTGGGATAGTCTGATTCCTTGTACTTCGGAAGTCATTGGGTCGTCCTGTGGATCACTTGGTGGTCTACTAGGAGGACGAGATGGTGTCTGTTGCAGTATAGAGTCAACTGACTGTCTACTAGATTCTGGAAGATCTACTCTATAAGGAGGAACAGATCGGAAACTGTTATTGGAAAAGCTCCTTGGTGCTGTTCGAAAACTAGCATTTGAAGAGCTACTACGGGTGAGCATAGGTTTCTGGAATTGAAGGTAAACATTACCTCCTTGTGTTTGGATAATATCATCGATGTTATGTTGAATAATCGGTTTGGGTGGTATAGCGTTTGGGATGTGCCATCTTTCGGGAAATGTTATATCCTTCCAGGGGATTAACTTTGGTACGGCTACCTGACTACTGTAAAGATTGGTTTCAATTAATACGGTTTGTCCTGTTTCAGTTTTCTTTTTAACATAAGGATTTAAAGTTGTTAAAGTCTTAATGTAAATTCTGGAATGTACTGAAAAAGGAGGAGTTCCGAGTTTGTACTCATAACCATGAGTAAGAACTCTTAATTCTAACACATCGGATAGATTAGCATCACACAAGGCTATGTGAAGGTTCGGATAAATATCAAAGTATACTGGTCCATGAGACAAACTTGTCTCAATCGCGCCCATAAGCGATTGTCTCCAGTTCAAGCATCTACCATCTCTAAGGGTACACTGAATACTGGTGTTTTGACCAAGAAGGGTCAAGGGTTTGAAAGCAATCTGTACTAATCCTATGTGGATGTACTTATACTGTTTCAAAAATGGGATAAAATCATTTATGTGAATTAATCTGATTATTTCATCATTATTCTGGATGCAAGATGCATGTTCAAATGCCTTGATTATAGTTTTACTAAAAAATTGAAAGCGTCCTTTCTTATAAATGGTTTGTGGATCAACAGATGGGATAATCCATTTATCTAGAGCTTCCTTAACATCCTGATAGGCTACTAATTTAGCGGCTTCGGCTAAGGAGGAAATTGTATTTCCTACTGTAGTTACGGACTCAGATCCTGGTATTTCTATGGTATTTTCTTGGGGTTCAGTCATGGTTGTATAATGATCATATATGTCAAATTTGTTTAATTTATATTCATATTATTTGAGAATTAAAACATGGCTCTGATACCAATAAAGGTGCTCACTAAAGGTTAAGGCTAGCACGTCTGTCAACGACTTACGGGCATCAAACGGTCACACGCACTCTCTGCTACACGACCTAAACCCTACGCGACTTGGGTGACGTCCCACTAACCCTAACAATTAATTAACCTTACAAAAGCACAAACCCAGGAATTAACATACACATAATATAAATATAAAGGAAACAAATTACAACATATATGATCTCATTACCTTACTGTTGAGGTGGTGGAGGCCTTCTGGCCGCCCACGCAATGATCTGCTCGTGAATCAGCGTCTGCAAATCTGCTATTCGCTGGTCACACTCGGCTAACCGCTCGGCAATGTACTGTTGTGTGTATGGATCTACACGAGTATTATGGTATTGTTCTCTCTTAGTTTGCCAAAAGTCTAATAACCATAAATATTGTTCTAAGGCATTAACTGAGGGCATACAACATAAGTACGAAAGGGAATTTTTATTGAAGAAGTACAACTATTTTACACAGAGGGGGTTGGAAAAGGTAGTACAAGGAAAATAAAACTAACTCTGACTCTCTTGAACTCTAAAACTTATTCTGCCTCAACAAGGGT